AAAGAAAACTTTTTATCCATAACAATGCCACACCTTGGATACCATATCTTTCTAGTTTATCCAACAGGACATTGTAATTTACAGTCGAACGCACTGCTGATATCACAAAATATCCCAACAGGGCACTCTCCTGCGTCCACTAACTCTATAGTGCGGTTATAATATGCGTGAATGGCCGTGGAGGTGGATGTACCAGCTAAGAAACCGTGTTGGTATGTAGAAAATATATTATTTTTATATAAAAATGGTAATAATCTATGTAAAAAGGAATATCCAAATATTTTAGAGAAATTAGAGGGTAACGTGACAGGCCTATAGTTATTTATATTTGTAGAATCCCCCTTTTTGTAAACTGGATTTATCTTTCCCTTTTTTAATGCCTCTGGAAAGCGTCTACTGGTTAAGGACAAATTGAATAGAGGATGTATAATAACACATAATTTTTTTTTAGTAGGAAGGCAGGTACTTCATCATAGCCTGAAGAATATTTGTTATGTAATTTTTCATTTAGAATAGCGAATAACTCGTTTTCAGTATATGAATGCAAAAAGATGGATTCTTTTTGGATATTTGTTTAATCAACAAATTTGCTTATACTTTTGCTATGAGAAATTTGATCTATTATCTTTTTAGGCTCATCCTTAAAATAATGTAAAAATAGTGACGCTATAAATTTTGAGTCAACAGTCAGTTCGTTATTATAATCTTCCCAGGATTGTGTGACTTACTAATTCTTTCTTGATAGTATTGTTTTTTTGTCCTTAAAACTAAATTATTATGTATAATTTTGTTGACATTATAAAATTCAGTCAGTTCTGGGTAAACAGTCTTTAGTTGAAACAAATCTTTCAGTTTTATGCTAGATATCCGGAATTCATTAGTAACCCATTTTTTATCACTAACTTTGTTATACAGGGTGTTTTTGAATGGAGTAGCATAAATGATACCAGTGAATCTACATTTCAAAAGAACACGATCTGCAAAAAATCGCCTTAGTAAAATGTTCACCCCTGAAGAGATATGGGTCATCAAAGTTTCCAAAAAAATTATGAAAATTGGCTGTAATTTGAAAACCGAACGAGGTACAAATAACAAATTTTTTACAGGTTGTTTACTAATACAGATGCGAGTTTTCAACTATTTTTCGAAAATTTTAACCCCTCGAAAGGGGTTGAAATAACCACCCCTCAAGCCATTTTTTGCCATAACTTTTATATTTCGTAAAAACTCGATATCCAAAAATACGCATTAGATAAACTGGTTCTTTTAGAAACTTTTACCTCTCTAGCAATTTTCCTTTAAAACTTTTCGTTTATTAATAAAAAAATAAAATGTATTACCATTCACCTCACACCGTATATGATTGCAATCAATCAAAGAAAAACTAAGTGTGCTGCTGTCATGCCAGTTGTCACAATTAACTCTTCTGTAAGTTGTCACTGTTATCAGCTAAATACTTTTTGGGTCATATCTCTTCAGGGGTGAACATTTTACTAAGGCGATTTTTTGCAGATCGCGTTCTTTTGAAATGTAGATTCACTGGTATCATTTATGCTACTCCATTCAAAAACACCCTGTATGTATATATTATATAAACGTTTGGGAAAATATACATTGAAACAATACATGAAGATAACAATAAAAAAATTATAAGCAGTGTCAATGTTGCAAATTGTAAAAAGGCCCTGCCAGTTATATAAATTGTGAAACAAAATAACTATATCAACATATTCTTGTATATGCCAAAAGCTGACCACGTCGTGAGAGACACGCTTTTTGCACTGAAACACCTCTACTTACTTATCACACAACATTGCGATGAATTTTTCATTTATCTTACTGCTACAATAAACACCTCAAAGACAAACATGGAAGTCTATATTCACAAACCGAGTTTTTGTCGATTAAACTTAATATCGAAGAAAAAAGTTGATGACATGGAAACTATCGATGCGCTGTATCACCATTTTCAGACGATATCGTAGTTTACACCCCGCGTAGGTACAAAAAATAGCTCCCTTAGAAAAACAAGTACCTACTCTGTAACATCAGACCGAGCACGATGTTTAAACTTATAAAATCAACAATCAAACAATAATTTGTGTTAGATTATATGTGATTTACAATCCGTAAGGCAATCCATCAAACTGCCATCGATATCTGAAATCCCTGCATTATCGGACCTTTCATCCGGCCGCTATCTCTTCACGTCTGCAATGCTAATCCCTAGGCATACATCAACACCAACGGAACGTATTCATCACAGCTGTTGGTTATAACGATTTAAAATTATCCGCTATTGCCAAACAGCGTTATTATAACGCTCGCAATTCATACAATGGAATAAGTAACAACGCGTTTGTGTCAGACGTTGTAAACGTAGCATATTGACACTCAGAATGCCTATCTCAGATAACGCACATTGAAAAATGTGTTCATAATATGACCTCGTTTCAATAATGACGGCCTTTACGGTTTTGTTTATCTATGGGGTGCCGCAGAGTTCAATATTAAACCCGGTGCTTGGCTCGGTACGTCAAATTGATCGCAAGAAGAGATATAATAGAAATCTTATCTCAGTTTTGTTGTAAAAGAGTCTAAATTACTATCATCGATAGTTAACTCTGTTACGTTTCATTGGAATATAGATTTTTGAGCCACTGTCACTTGAAATTTGTTACACATTTCATTATTTCTTCCAGTGCTTGTTTAAAAATAACCATGAGTACATAAATTAACAATATTGGAAGGCGTTTTTGATATTTTCACTTCAAAAGCAGACGTAGAAAGAGATAGACAGATGACGAGCAGACTGGAAAAGGATTCACATTAGAAACTAGATGGAAAAGGCGTGGAGAGAAAAGAGTGTGTACGAAGAATTGAAGGATGAAGAACTTCAATTAATGTGGTGATATGGTCTAGAATTACGATTTGGACACATTTTTTCACACTTAAACTGATAAAATCGCCACTTTTAGAGAAGATTAATTTGGAACAAATCTTTGACCTTCAGATATTATCGTTAACAGAAAATCGCGGTTTTCTGATTGCGACAAGCTTTCAAGTTTTATTCTAATTTACATTTTACACCATTCTCTATTGAAACTGAGATTTAGATAAGGAATCGTTTCCAAAACATCGGTAATATTTGAAACATCCGTTAAAACAAATTTTGTTTTATTTATAGAAAGATAGTCCAAATATTCTAACATATTAACAGATAGATAGAAAATAACTAAACTAACAAAAAACATTTACTGCATCCTTAGTAAAAATTGCATTTGTTGTGTAAGATTATTTCTACCGATTTAAACTATACAGGGTGATTCAGTACTGCTAAAAAAAACTCTTATCCGTCCATAGCACTTTGTTAATAAAGCTGGAATCCGCTACACTTTGATTTTGAAAAATTTCAAAATTCAAGGCGACATGGGAAATCAGCTGGTTCGCTTCAACGTTTGAACGTTTTGTAGTCCGCCGGCCGAAGCATTCCTTGTAGCGAAGTAAGGCGCCGAGTTAACGGGAGTTAAAGGGTAATTTGCCTATTTTTAAAACGTCGAATATGTATGTATGTATGTATGTATGTATGTATGTATGTATGTATGTATGTATGTATGTACGTACGTAGGTATGTATGTATGTATGTATGTATGTATGTATGTATGTATGTATGTATGTATGTATGTATGTATGTATGTATGTATGTATGTATGTATGTATGTATGTATGTATGTATGTATGTATGTATGTATGTATGTATGTATGTATGTATGTATGTATGTATGTATGTATTATTTGTATGTATGTATGTATGTATGTCGGAGGGTTGTTGGATTTTTTTTCCACCGCGGCACTTAGGCCTTATTAGGCCCCTTGTACACCCTCCTTCATTACTCGAGTACTTTTCTTCAAACCATCCTATTTACTACGCAGGTGGCTTGGTGGCAGTCTCCTACAGTTTATGTATGATAGCATGGTCTTGAGTTACAGAGATTTCTTGCTCTGTTCTCATTACCATTTATCGGGGGACCACACGCATGCGCGGCAAATGTTGGGCGACCCAGGTCTCTTGGTAGGCTGCCACAACCACGTTCCCGAGCCTGCCTTAGGTCACCCATCCAAATTCCAGCCCACGTCCGTGATGCTTGAATCGGCAGATCGAAATCCGCCGGCCTAGACACCCGGCAAGGCGGTCCTCTAAAAACGTCGAGTAATTTTTTTTATTTTCTTTCTTTATTAGACCTTCCGAATAAGTGGATAAATTTAATGACTTATGACTGACCCTCTCACCCTGCATAATAAACTTCTTGCTGATATCTTAGAAGTTTTTGATTTCTCATGAACAGATATGTACTGTTAAACTTATAAAAAAAATCTGCTGCACTAGTATCTACGTCTGTCCGAACAAACCCCACCGGTCGCCTCCCGAAGCCAATTCCGATGCTGCTCGTCCTCTTATTTGTATCTTAATAAACGCGAGCGGTAACGATCCTTCTTCAAATAAATTATTTCTGATTAATCCAAGACAGCAAACCCGATCGAGCGAGTAAATCATGGCTGCCTCGCAGTTTGTCAGCCGTCTAGATGTTTGCAGTTAGGTCACTATTCAAACAATTAATTAACCGAAGGGCTAATAGGAGGGTCGCCGCTCGCTTGTAGCGACTACCGGTTCGGAAATGACGTAAGGGCCGACTTGTGGGGTCCCCCCGGCCACGCACGAGCCGCCACTTTAATATCGGATGCAATTATATATTTAGCGATTCCTTCTTTGTCGGTGTCAGCGGGGTCACTGCTTTCGGAATCGGAAATTTTACTGTCGATAAGAAGTTTGTGGTCCCTTGTATAGTTCAAATTACTGATAAAAAAACTGATCATCCATAATTACTAGAGTACCCCATGGTTCTTACGTGGTACTCTTTTTATATATTATTTTATTGCTGATTACATCTGTTTTAGAAACTTAGTTAAATATCCCTTTAAATTTAAAGACATCATCTTACCTGGTGATTTTTCCTTTGTGGTTTGTCCATTCGAAAATGGGGAGAAGTACCTAGGACCACCAGGTACTATTGGGGCGCCCCAAAGGTTCCGACAGTACGCCACGAAACCTGTTGGTGAGGGAAACTGGGAAGGAGAACCAGTTCTGTCTGATGAGTTAGCTGAAAAGAAAGATGACCAGCATTATTTCGTGATTTTGCGCAATATGGTGTAATAGTTGTAATGGTTTATTGAATAATGAAAGATGGAAAAACTGTTAATATTTACAGAAAGTCTGTATGTACTTCCAAAGCATTAAACAACCAAATACAGCGGGTGTTGTCCTAGAAGCTGAGATGTAAGGAAAACAGAACAATCTTTCTACTATTCAAAGCTACTAAAATTTTTCTAGAAATAGTTGCAATCTCTGAAAGAGAAGATTACGTTAAATAAGAAGGTACTCTTAAATGGCAAAATGTGATTTTAAAACTCTTCTTGACAACATGCACAATAGGAGTTTAAAAGGGACTATGACGTTCAAGATATTTTATTACATGAATCGTTCAAATGATCATTTTAGATGAAAAAACCAAGGACTGCTATTAAATTAGAGGATGGAAATTGGAGATAGGGGTGAAAATGCACCCCTTTCAGTTTTTTAATTGTAGCTCGAAAATGAAGCAAAATTTCGCTATAGTTCATAAGAAAAATTATATAAAGGATTGAATTTCCCATCGAAATGACATATTTAAAAATATTAAAAGGAAAATTTTATGCAAAAAATCGTTAATAAACAATTTGAAAAAGGCAAAAAATTCGATTTTTTTATTTTTTTTTACTTTTTTGCCTCTAGTTTTGTTTGAGTGACGATAGGTATAGGCATTGCTTTATAGAAAAAAGAGTAGATAAAATTTCCTTCAAAATAAGAGGTTGAAAAGTATTTTTGGATGAAAATTGACTGATATATGGCCGGTCAAACTTTCGCTCAATTTTTCGATTTTCGACGGGTTTACCCTTATACCAAGGGTCGGCAACTGGCGGACCGCGGTACAGATCCGGACCGCGGAAGGTAAAATAATGGACTCCCAAAAATTTTTTTAAAGTATAAAATACTCAATTAAATTATTTAAATAGTTTGCTATTGATAATACTACGTTTGAGTGCCACCCTTATCATTTCCACTACAATTGCGTGATTGATTTGAGTTGTTAATGGTTAGTAGGTAGATTAAATTTGTAAGTGCAAATTAAAATAAAAATTAGTAAGGAATGTGAGTTTTTTTTGTGGACTTCGTAAAAAATTTTCAAAAGTATCCGGACCCCACCTAAAATTACTTGCCGACCCTTGCCTTATACGTTTTAATTGTCATTTTTTGCAAAAAAGGAAGGAAATAAGACGTTGAAGGATTTTCATCACATGAATTGTTTGAGGAGTCATTAAAAATGAAAAAACCTCAGGATGTTATTAAATTAGAGGGTCGAATTTGAAGATAGGGGTGAAAATGCACTTTAGCAGTTTTTTAAATATAACACTAAAACGAAGCAAAATTTTGGTATAGTTCATAGAAAAAATTTTGTAGAGAATTGAATTTCCCATCGAAATGGCTTATTTAAAAAATTTTAAAGAAAAATTTAATGCAAAAAATCGTTAATAAACAATTTTAAAAAGGCAAAAAATAAGATTTTTTTGATTTTATTTACTTTTTGACTAAGTTATGAAAATCTTTATTTAATATTAACAAATAAAACTTTTGAAATAATTTTTTTATCAAGTAAAGAACCAATTTACTTTAAAAATAATAATTATTAGGTATGTTAAAAACGACGAAAATCTTAAAAATATTTAAGTTTCACCGGTTATAATTCAGTCAATATTAGTCCAAAAATTTTTGAAAACACATCATTTTGAAGGGAATCTCATCTAGTTTTTTTGCACAGCAATTTTATTTGCCTACTTCTACTAAAAAAAAATTAGTCAAAAAAGTAAAAAAAATCAAAAAATCTTACTTTTTCCTTTCAAATTTTTTAAATAAGCCAAATGGCCATCGAAATGATGGGAAATTCAATTTTCTAAATAAAAAATGATTCCTATGAACTATAGTGAAATTTTGCTTCGTTTTCGAGCTACAATTAAAAAACTGAAAGGGGTGCATTTTCACCCTTATCTCCAATTTCCACCCTCTAATTTAATAGCACTCCGCGATTTTTTCATCTAAAATGACCCTTTGCACGATTCATGCAATAAAATTGCTCGAACGTTGTAGTTCCTTTTAACCATGTTTTTTTGGATATAATCAATAGCCTACAAGACAGTATAGATTATTATCGGTAGGTCACTTTCACTCGTTTCATTGAGTGTATTATTAAATATGAAAAAAAATATGGATAGTAAAGTTAGCCCTTCTATCTCCAGTATTGAATTAGAATCTAGATCTTCTGGGGTCTATAGAGTTCGTACCAAATTTTCTATTTTCTCACAGTTGGTAATGAAATCTGGTGCTTATTCGAGAAGAATGAAGGAAACGATTAGGATAGGACTCAGGTCGACGAGCTTCAATTCCATTACCATTGGCACGTCTGCCATTTCTGCATTGGTGTAGAGTGGCATTATTTATCTATTATTAAATAAAACACAAACAAACAATAAAAATCGAAGTTCACCTAACCGTTGCCACTAAGAACGAGTTTATTTGAATAAAAAATTAAAGTATTATTCTTAAAACAAAAACAAGGCACTTGTTTTAAGAACTCGCGATAAAGGATTAACTGGTATTTTTGTAAAATTCCAAGGATGATATTTTCCGGAGATAGTAAAATCACAAAAAATTAAAATTTTGTGTTATCATGTTCGTACTGTCTCGAAGGATTTTATAGTCCTGTTTTGAATTTTTTTCGAAAACTGTGCATCCTATCGATCTAATCCTAATTTATCCCGCTCTTTTAAAAAATGTTATTACTTTTGCAAAAATTTTAGTGGTGCAAACGAACAGAAAATATGACGATAATCCTGAACCTCTTAGGTAATACCTACTCTGTATGAAAATTCTAACACTATGTTCCTCGAAAATAGAATATTTTCGGATATACTCGTATGTTTGTGTGTAATTGTTTTCTTATTTATGTTTTATTTTTGTGTGCCTACATTTTTAAGATATTTTGTTTGAACATTGAATGCGATATATTGATGAAGGCTTTATTGGTAGAGATATTGATTTCATCCATACATGAAACTACTAACCAAATACTGTAATATAATACGAAGAACCTTTTCTGGCAACCGCCAGCTCATGAATATTTAGACGTAGGATTCTTCATGTTTCTGATCTATCCATTACAAGTTCCCAACTAATCCTCTTTTGCTCAGTCGCCAACTAAATCTTTCATGAATAATAGACAGCTATGCTCCTCGAATATGAAAAATCCCCAAACGAGAAATCGAATCGGGGATCTAAGCTGGAATTAGAGCTGACCACTTCATGTAAATACTTCAGCACTATAAATAACATAGTACTTCAGTCATATCGAGAGATCACCCGACATAACCAATATGTTTACTGAAAAAATCCTAAATCCAAATTAGATCGATTAAGATAAGATTAATGTCGGTTTTTAGAACAGCTTTGGAGTCACGTTTATTTTTTTTAATCAAATATTTGATATAAATATCTCTAACAAGATTATATGGATTGGAACTGTTTAAAGCTCTATAAAGAAAAAAGTTTAAAAAAATTATCTTATTTAAAAATAAGCCTCAGTTGCCAATTTATATTTATCACTTTTGAGGAAACTAATGGTTGATCGCATAAGTATTGTAAAAATTACAGTAATTCCTGTAACTTATATGTTTCACATTCATAAACAAAACATGTTTGAGATGCATTTGCTTGCGCTAACAAACTTTTTAAATGTCAATGGTCTACAATAATTATACAGGGTAGCCCATCGAAAACGTACCGCAAGGCATTACAGGGTAGTAAAGAACTTTTCGGCAAAATCCAAAAACAGGTCAAATTTGTTTCTGAGGGGGACAACTTTTGGCTCAAAAAGCATACCAAAATCTTCAACCCCCTAAGTGGGGGTGCTATCCCCTAAATTTTTTCAAATGGGAATGGGGGTCAAGTGGGGGGTCATTAGAAAGGGCTTTTAATTCTCTATACATCGATTCTTACTTTTTGAAAATCGATTCATTATTTTAGAAAATATGCAGCTTTGAAAATACGAACAATATTTTTGACGAGAAATGCGAAAATCGATTTAATTTTACTTCAAAACTTACGGTATTAGTCAAGTAAATGCTGAAAATGTTGTCCGCCAACTTGCATACAATGATACAGGTTGTCTTCAAACCGTTGTCGAACATTCTGGAGCACTTGCGGTGTTACTTCGCGACATACATTAATGATTCGTCCTCGCAGATCTTCCAAGGTATCAGGTGGAGTGCTGTAAACTTTGCTTTTAATGTGCCCCCAGAGAAAGAAATCTAAAGGATTTAAGTCGGGTGACCGAGGGGGCCACTCAATTGCACCTCTTCGTCCTATCCAGCGTCCTGGAAACGTCTCATTTAGGTAATTGCGCACATTGAGCGAGTAATGTGGAGGAGCTCCGTCTTGCTGGAAAATCAGTTCGTGTTCATTGTAAGCAGGGTCGTCCTCTATGATATTTGTTAGAGCTGGGTCGATGACATTTTGTAGTAAATCCAAGTACATATCGCCTGTCAAATTTCCAGGAAGGAAAAAAGGACCTACAATGGAATTTCCAAAAATACCTGCCCATACATTCAACTTCTGGGGGTGTTGGGAGTGTGTCTCATGGAAAATCCTTGGATTGGTATCAGCCCAGTAACGACAATTATGGCGATTCACTAAACCATTCAAGAAGAACGTACACTCGTCCGAAAAACACACATTAAAGAGGAAATTATCGTTTATCGCTCGTTCAGTCATTATTTCGCAAAATTGCAAACGACGATCAAAATCGTCTTCATTTAGCTCTTGCACTAGCCGAATCTTATAAGGATGGAATTTGTATTTTTTTAATATTCGTTGGACACTTGTACGACTCACTCCTGTCGCAGTAGCCAATTGCATTGTACTCAGCGTACTATCCATTGCCACTTGCCCCAATACCGCTATTTCCGTAGGTTCATTTAGTACCGGATTTTCAACCTGCCTCTTTTTGTTATG